AGTCACTACGTCATGGTAACTATAACCACGTCGTGGTCATCAGGAAGATTCCCCAAAAAACGATTTCCTTGCTTTGAACAATTACCAATGCATCAATATAACAAAAAACACTCTAGTCTCTGATACCACTGAAGGGTTTTAAGTACTATAACCCTAGATGTTTTGGACCTAATTTTTCTCTAATTTATTCATGCAATATTCATTTTCCAAAGCATGAAGCCTAACTAGCATGCAACTTTGATATACGAATCATAAAGACTAGTTAGAGTTTTACCTCTTGTTGTAGCTTGTAGTACTTGGCCTTATAAGAGCTTAGCACCTCAAATGTGATGCCTCAATCAAATCACAAACACCAAGAACAATTAGAGGAATATGAGAGAGGTTTAAGAGACACCAAAATCGGCTAGCTCCTTCTTGGAATACTTGTATGTCGATTTTGGAGCTAAGGGAACACATTTATAGTGTAGAATCTCAAGGGTCACTTGTAAACCCTAATTCATACACTTAGGCTTTTAATCCAATAACACTTCATGGAATCTCATATGAATTTTGTCCATTACGAATTATTCATGGATCATTAGCCCAAATTATATGTATCACTGATTTACATAATCAGCCCCTGCTTATTTAATTAGACTCTTTTGATCACTAAATTAATTCTTGATCAATATCAATTAAATAATATGATTTCTCAATTAATATATTATTCTTATAATATATTAATAAATCATAAATAACTTCTTTCTCAAATATTCATCCTATCAAATTGTACTGGTGAAGGAAACCCAAAATGGACCATGCTACTATCGGGTCAAGTACATACCAATTATAGTTATGGGCTTAGACACCTAATCCAACACCTTGTTAGGGACAACATTGAGATTCTCGAGTTTGTCTATGTCACTCTCAGTAAGCACATATAAATCATTGTGACCTAAAACGAGCAACTACAAACAGGTGATAGTGCCCTATCCATTGTGACCTAAGCTTCAACTACAGAACCTTTTCATCTCGTAAATGAATGTAACGAACAAAGGCAAATCATTTCCCAAGCTTAGAAAGCTTCTTGGGCATATACACATCAGAAACAACACCAAACTTCTCACAAATCTGTCTCTATGAATTAGCATCCACTTTAATAAGAAAATTAGAAACAAAACAAAACAAAAAATAAGCTGATACCTTCTCTAATCTCCTTACCTCCAAGTTTTTTATTGTTTCCAATTTTCCATTCCTACCCTTCATTGGCACCCATTAAATGTGACCTTCAAACGCCATAAAGATATCTCAAAACCCTAGAAAACGAAATAGAAAAGCAAAAAACCACTAAATAATAATCGCAAGAGAATTCCAAACAACCCTAGCCCTGGCATTTGATCCCGTCAGAGAATAAGAGCAAGGGTGCGACTAAGGGTTAATCGCCAGAGGGTAAGGGTGCGACTAAGGGTTAATCGCTAGAGGTTAAGACGAAGCAGAAATGACAATTTGTTTTACGCTTTATACCCTATAATGTAGTATATTGTAACTATAATGTAGTATATTGTAACTCAAACCCATTAACTTATTTTTATACTGATCTACTTTAGCAGCTTTAGTATTGACAATATTGAGTAAGTTATAATCTAGTTTTGCCATGTTATTAATTATGAACCATGTAAACTTATTCAATTTACATATAATTCATGATAAATAAAACAACATATTTGGTAGATAAGGTGTCTATATAGAGATGTAATTGACATTTTCTTTGATATAAATTAAAAGATTTGGGACATACGATGACATATCTTTTAATACTAGGTGTAAAACTCATGTATTATATGTGTTCATTTAAAAAAATTAAATATGAAATTCTAAACATTTAAGAAGTTTGAATTTATAAGAAAAATTAGAAAAATATTGAATTATTAAAATTAAAGTGTTTTTATTTCTTTTTTAAATTTAAACAAAATAATTTAGATAAATAAACAAAGGAAATTAATAAAGTTTTAATTTAGAAATTAGAAATTTAGAAGGAAAGTCATTTAATGAAATTGGTATTCATTTATTATTACATTTATTATATTTAAATATTATGTGAAATTTGATAAAATGAAAAAAACCATAAAATGTCATGTGGAACAAAATTTAATTGAAAATAACCACAAAATGACATGTGGCCAAATCAATGAAATTGTGACATGTGTCAAAAAGATTTTTATTTATTAGAGTAGATAGTTGGACACCCAATAGCTAGAGTCCCTATTAAATACGATATATTTGTTTTAATTTGAAGTACTGCACACTTGCATATTATTCAATAAAGTAAGGGATGTACACAGTGTTGTGTAAAATTTATGCATATAACAATGTACTAGGTTATAACCCATGCAATACACAGTTGGTAAATTAAAATAACATAGATAATAATTGTAACAAAAGTATTTTAAAAAAATTTATAAAAATGTGTTTATTAAAATGTTTTAAAAAAAACAAAATAAGTGTAATAGAAAATTATTTATAATTGATTATTTTTTTTATCAATGATCAAATAATTGATTACCAAACATTTTAAATTTTAAAATCTCTATTAATAATGCTAATTTTAAAGGATTTAGAAGAATTTAAATTTAAATGTAAAATCATAAAAAAGACATGTGTCATTTTTAGAGAGTAAAAAGGAAAATTATAAATTATAAAAAAAGTAAGAAGTTGCATACAAATTATTTTTTATTAGTATAGGAAGATTGTTGCTTTGTCAAGACAACTATGTAAAACAAATCAATATGTTTTTACAACACTAAATGCATTAAAACAAATATATAAATAATAAAAAACGTTACTAGTAACAAACGACGGAAACTAAGAAATTCATGGTAATCGATAGAACCATTTTTCTCCCAATTTGTTTTTAAAAAAGCAAAAAGAAACGGTTTCTTACAAATCCCTACACTATATGCAAGTCCCTACACTATATGCAAGTCTCACTTATATATGTCATACTAGGTTTGAGACCCATGTATTAATTAAAAAAAATTAAATATCAAAGTATAAACATTAAGTATTTTAAAAAATATTTTAAAATAACAAAGGAAAAAACATATTTATTACATTTAAGATCACATTTATTACATTTAATACTTTACTTATATACCTATATGTATTATGTGACTTTTTAATTTTTAAAATTAAAAAAACCTAGAAATTGACATGTGGATATTATTTATTTTAAAAATACCATAAAATGACAAGCGTCAAAACTTATGAAAGATTGACACGTGGCAAAATGATTTTCATTTATAAAAGTAGATTTGACAGAAGCATCAAATATGTTGGAGTTCTAACCTTTTTGGAAATCAGTAGAATTGGAAAAGTGGGTCCTATTTTGTAAAACATGTACTACTATAGCAATCAGCAGATCGTATGTTTGTAGAAAAAACTTTTCATTTTGATGAACCGGAAACATCTATTTTCCATGACTATTTTTACTCATTTTTTTTTATATCTTTGTTTCGTGTGTTTCGCCATATGAAGTCGTAAAAAAATCTAAAATGTTGTGCAAAAAAATTGTAAAAAATATTAATGTTTAAAAAACATAAAAAATTAAAGTTTTAAAAAAGTAGGCAAATTTTGTAAAACATGTTTGGGCGACTTCGTGAAAAAGGTTATAAAAAATGATGTATACGAACTTGTACCAAAAAAGTCTAAAAAAAGTAAGTTAAAAAATTTATAAAAAAAAATTGGTGAAATTTTATAATCTACAAAAGAATTGAATAATTTGTAAATAAATAAATAAATAAATAATAAAAAAAAAAAAAAAAAAAAAAAAAACTAACATTGGGCTAAAAGTATAAAAGAAGTTAACCGAATTCTAAAAATAATGGTAATATGATGTTAAGATAAAATTGTAAAAATTTAAAACATTAAGCTAAAATTACAAAAAAAGAAGTTGGTGGTCAATAATCGGGTTTAAAACTTAGGAGTAGGGGTGCAAACGAACCAAGCTACTCGTGAGCAACTCGGGATCGGATCGCTAAAAGCTCGACTCGAAACCGATTTTAGACGAGCCCGAGCCGAGCTCGAGCTTAATATTAAGCTCGTTTATTAAACGAGCTCGAGTTCGAGCCTATGTCACTAAGCTCGATTAGGCTCGAGCCGAGCTCAGTACAAGAAGCTCGAGCTCAGTACAAGAAACTCGAGCTCGAGCCTCTTAGAACTTAAACAAGCCCAAGCCGAGCCTAGCCAGACTGAGGCTCGGCTTGGCTCGTTTGCACCCCTACTTAGGAGCATAATGTTAGTTTGTTAGACTATTCTTATTCACAATCAAAACTAAATCAACTATCAAATAAAAAAATAATTTGTTTCTCTTCTACATGTGCAATTTAACTAAACTCAACTTTTCATACATATTAGAAACTCAACACAAACCAAACTTTTATATTATTCATAATTAGTTTTTATTATATTATACAAACTAAATATTATGTTTTTTTTTTTTGAATTTATAACCCAATTTTTTTTTATTACTATTTTTAAGATTATATAAACAATATAAAAGAAATTTAAAAATCTTAAAGTATATCACTATTGGTCTTCAATTGTAGACATAATTATTTTATATATTTTAGTTTATTTTGTTTACTTTTTAATAAAAATTAAATTAAATTAATTAAAAAAATTGTTTATGGTGCAAAAGAGTTATGACCAATAAATAAAACAAAATAAAAAAAAGGCCAAATGAAGTTTGGTGAAGCAAACATAGTGGGTTTTAAATAAAACTTATTATTATTATTATTATTATTTTTTAATTCAAATGTGAAAACCAACCAAACATTTAGTTGCCAATGGGATATGTTTATACTGTTGAGTTGCTACTGATTTCATATTAATTGTTTAAAATACTTTATAAATTATAAGGTAATATAATTACAAAGATAGTTAACAAGTGAATATAATTAGTTTTCTCTGCTTTCTCAATGGGATTCTGCCGTTCTAGGTTTCAACTTTTTTGAAAAGTGCAAATGATGCAGTCTTTTTCTTATTTCCAAAATATATACTACATTTTGTGAGTACATTTTTTTAATAAAAAAAAAAAGACAACAGTACTAGATTGTTTTGTCAAATCATACAGGTTGTATGGGATATCAATATTAATTTATGGAGAATTTTGGACGCAAATTGGTTATTGCAATTATATGTCAACCATCATATTAATTAATTAAGTGCACATATACATTCCTATATATACATGCGATTTTGATTTTATCTTTTCAAGTCATTACTTTAGTAAAACATTAGAAAAAGTTATATGATGGCTCCTAAGATTTTATTTGTAGTTGTTGGCTTTTTAATTTTCACAATTGATATTGTTTATGGTAGAAGTCTTATTGGAGAGAATACATCCCTTGGATATGGTGAAGACATGACTAGTTGTGTCACCAAAACAGGCGTAACATGTGGAGGTCATGATACAATTCATGGAAATGCAGAGATGGAATATGATACCAAGTCTACAAATGGAGGAGAGGTTGAGCTTAATGATGAATTAATGCTCGAACGAAGAATGCTACAACAAACCCAAGGGAATACCCTTGGAAGTTATAATAATGGGTTACCTAATGCTCAAAGTTATATCAATCCACCGCTTAACATGGGACCTTATAACAGCCAAGGGAATAACAACCCCTCAAGTTATAACATGCCCACTTTTAGCAATCCATCGTCTACCATGAGCGGTTATACTAGTAACGGCTATAGCAATCCATCAACTTATAACATGCCAACTTATAGCAATCCATTGTCTACCATAAGCGGTTATACCAGTCAAGTCAATAGCAATCCATCAACTACCATGGGAGGCAATACAAATACAGCCTATGGCTATCAAATACCTAACATGGATGATAATGAAGATGGAGGGGGAGGAGGAGGAGGAGGAGGCGGAGGCGGTGACGGAGGCGGAGGTGGAGGCGGAGGTGGAGGCGATGGAGGAGGAGGTGGAGGGGGTGGTGGTGGAAAATGACGACCTTGAAACCAAATGCAACATCAACAATAAAAAAGGAGCACATATCTTTTTAACCATATATGCTTTGATGTATAAATGCATGGTTCGATTTTAAATATCGAATATGTATGCATTATATTTATCATTATGTGTTATATATATGTGAATAAAGGCATCGATGTGGCATTGATGTTGCAATATCCTTATCTACTCTCTCTCTCTCTCTCAAACAAAGTTGTAACGTCCTATTGCCCGTTTTACATTTTAAAATCATTAATTTTCGGAGAAATTGATTTATAATGTTAAGGGTTATTATTTTCGGGTTGAAAGTAATAATATGATTTAAAGGAATCGTATAGGATTATTTATGAGGGGTTAGAAAAAGATATTATTAAAAAAATGTAATGTTTGTTAATGAAATAAGAAGTATGACCTAAGTGTAAATGTTTTGAACCATGGGGATCAAAGGAAGCCAAGGAACACATTAACTAATATAAGACATAAAAACCCTAGCCATTCCCTAAGAAAGGTTTCGATGAAAAGAAGAGCAAAGGGAAACGACTCCAAGTTGGAGAATTTTTGGAATTTCCATTTTTGAAGATCTTACAACAGTGTTGGACGATCACCAGAGATTGAACCGTCGGATCGTCAAGGAATTTAGAGTGCGGCTTCCCAAGACATATATTGAAGTTTTGACCGTTGTAATTTCATTTTCATGGCCGGGAGGTGTAGTTACAAATCATCGATCATAGCAGAAGATCTAAGGTTGTTGTCGAAATCATTTTAGGTGCAAGGCTTGTATGGAGCCTTCAATCGCAACAATCTTTATATGATTTATTCCTCATTGAATGTATTTTAGATGCATATATATGGTGTTTTCATTTGGGGCTGAACCAAAGTCATAAGGTTAGGTGTTTGGATCGAAAACCCTAACCCTAGAGTTGAAATGTTGTTGAGAAGACCCTAGTCTGTCCCTTTTTTGTAAAAATTCTAAAAAACCCATCGGGAGTCAGATTTAAGATCCATAAACTCTAAATATTCAGATTTTGAGTCTAGTATGTCCGAGATTTTTTCCCCTCCCATTTTGGGGAATATGAATACTATTACACCATATTTGGTGTAATTCCATTCATATCCCCTAAAATAGGGATGTACTTTGAGTTGTCAGTTTTAGTCATTCTTTTTATATATTTATACATTTCTAATTTAATTTTATCTGCTAATTATAATTTAAATGTAATATTTAATATTTATAATATTTTGATATATATTAAATTATATTAATTAATTATAAATAACTTTGTTATTTGTGTATCAAATTCCTATGCATAAATATGTTAAATGCGTGTATAATATTTATTTAAAAGTGGGTATGTGAAATATTTATATAAATGTATGTATAATATTTATATAAATGTATGTATAATATTTATTTAAAAGTGTGTATGTGTAATATTAATATAATGTATGTATAATATTATTGTAATAAAAAATATAGATTATATATCTGTTAAAAGAAAATTAGTAGAATAGATGTGTTTAACTATCTATGTAAGTTGGAAGAATGTAATATACTAAGAATATACTTTTTGGTGTAAAAAATGGAGTAGGGTTGGAAATGAAACACTATTTATCCTATTTTTTACTCCATTTTTAGGGAAATAATAAAAGTGGGTTAGAGATGGTCTGTCACACCCCCGGGCGGTGACGGAAACGCCGAGGGTGGAACTTGCGATTCGTAAATTACCCCAATCACAGAACAAAATATATTTTACTTATAACATCCGTTACATTGACTAATATTTCATCATTTTCTTTAAAGATTTTTCTTTCTTTTAGGATATAATATCTGATACGTGTGAAATATACTAGTTTTAATCCTAACTAACTTACACAAAAACCAACACACGATAGACAGTGTACCTAATCAAATAGTAGTTTAGTGCAGGTAAGTAAGGTATCGAACACAGGGAATGGTAAAAACAATTAAAAATACTACTAATGTTAACTAATTTTAACAATGATTAAAGAGGGACGTTTTCTTCTAGTTTTACAAGACTAGAAACTTAGGCAATCACTTAAACACTTAGCAAAGAGAAAATTAACGAATAATTAAAGCACAAAAGACGAATTGATTCAAGAATATTAAAGAGACTTCCGTTTAGATGGGATTCACTTACTCATTTAGTTGATTTCGTGGAAAGTGCAATGGATTAATGTATCTTAAATTACCGATTTCTAATGTGATTAGGTTCATGTTCACTATTACTAATCATTTAGCAAACCAATCAATTCAAACAGTGATCCGTTGATTAAACTAACAAGTTTACTAGTATTAAGTTCGAATCATGCAAGACTTATAATGGTGGTTAATTAAATTGGTTGGTTCAATTAACTCATATATGGTTGGTCATCATATGTAGATCACACATTAACTTACTTATTTTCTTATTAATCCTAGGTTATGTTTACAAAACTAGTCTTGCAATCTTGATGTTCATAAATTTATAAGAGGTAAGCAATCAAGAAGACGTTCATACAATCTCAATTTACTTAGTAATTAACAGAAAATAATTATCATTAACACATAAGGTTGTTCTAACAAGCTTAACATGACAAATAATCAATTCCACATAATCCAAAACCACAAAATCAACACATAGTCATAAGATCCTCTACTCTAAACCAAAGTAGGGTGTTTAGCCCATGACTTCAGCAGAAACAATCATAAAAACAAAATTCAACATTACAAACACGATGTGAATAAGAGAATTAAGTAAAGTAATGATGAATTTCCTTTGATCTATGCAAGAACAAGCTTCTAGTCGAATTCTGTAATCCACAGCTCCTTAGGGATATCTCTGGCCTTCAAAAGTAGATAAAAACCTCCAGTATAAGTTAGGGTTTTGAAAAAGAAACGATCCATATATAGTTTCTGAAAAACGGTGCACCACGACGTGTTATTGGAGCCAACACACCTTGTTCTTCATTAAAAACACGTGTACGGCAAGACAATATTCCATCGTGAATTTCCAATGCAACACGTCGTGTTTGAGGATAACACGCCGTGCTCTTCTTAAATTTCTTCTTCTTATTGAAAATCAAAATCTGAGCTTCCATTTGCCAATTCCGCTTCCTTTCCTTCCGAGCATATCTTTATTGCTGTAGAAAAATATTCAACTAATTAAGTACCTTTTGTTCGATATTTGAAACAAATGCAACATGAAATATTAAGATAATGCATGAATTATATGATTGAATATGCCAATATCAAAATACCCCACACTTGACTTTTGTTTTCCCCCAAGCAAAAACTGAATTTTAACATACCAATACCACATAAGATAATCCAAATTGAACCCAACCATTATGTCAAGATCACAACGCATGTATTTTTGTCTAATTTTTCCTAAGAACCTCCCTAATCCTAAATACTTACCATCTTCATAAACACTCACCCACTTCTTTTGAACAACGCTCATTTTATGCATACCTCCGAATCCATCCGCAAAAAACTTTCTTAACCTCAAGGTATATTTGGTTAAACCCCAAGCATACATATGGAAAAATAACCTAGAAAATAAAATTACAAATAAATAAAATAAAATAAAAAATGTTTCCTTGAATCTTTGAAATATTGTAGTTCTTCTTCATGTCTTCATAACTTGTATGTTCTTTCACACATTGCAACACTCCTTTTTTTTTATACGCACTTTTTTTCACTCAAAACTAAAAATCCTAGAAAAACATATGCTTACGCAAGGGGATTTAACTTCAACCTTTATTGATTAAAGGCATTAGTCTCATGTGCAATGACTACTTAAGCTTTCCTGGATACATTTCAAGTACACGATGCTAAACATGTTGCGTCCCTTAAACTAAGCAAGGTCATGTTTTTGATCCATGATGTCACTAAGATAAGGAGGCCAAAGATACACTATAACGTATGTTGGCTCAACTAAACATTTAGGCTCGCATCGAATCATCAAACACAATACTAGCATGGAATCCTAATAATGAAAATTGCCTTTACCATAATCTTATGAATTAACCTAGCAATTTTGATGCAATTTTTCAAAAATTATACTTGGATTCTAATAATGTAACCAACCCCCTACCCAACACTTAATTCATACAATGTCCCCATTGCATGTTATGCAAAATAAAGAACAAGTAAATAGGGAAAAAAGGAATATACTCCCCTGGGATAGAAGTGGCGAGGTTGATTTTTTTCTTTTCGCTCCTTCTTCAGCTGACTTTGGCATCGGAACAGCTCATACATGCCTTGGTTGTCATACGTATCGTGTGGTTGACATCTAGTAACATAACTGGAAAACACACTTTGGAACGCCCTTTGAATGGATTCAAGAAATCTGGAAAATGCCCGCCTCGATTAGGTGCAAATAAAGAACTTGAAAAAGGTTGACTGAGGTGTAAACACGCCGTGTTTACATGGGAAGCACTCCATGTTGAGATATGATTCAGACGAAAATTGTGTATTTTGACTGGAATACGCCGTGTTTAGGTTTGACCACGACATGTTTGACGTTGATTTTGTAATTTCGTTTCTTCTGCTTCAATGACGGTTCTTTGGGTCAAAAAGGGTACTAATGTAGTACACCTTTCTATATCTTCTATAAAAATAGTCCCCCTCGGAAAATATGAACACAGAATCATCTCAAAATCTTCTATTTTCTCGTCACAGATTCTACCCCTCACTTGGTTTCTTTCACGACTTTAAATATTCTCTCATTTCTCAACCCTAATTCTGCAGAAATCAAAAACAACAACTACGTAATAAAAAGGAAAACAAAAACTAAATTAAGTTTCCTACATTAATCCTACATAACTAAAAGATTAAACAAGTTCAAACACACAAAAATAAAAATAGTCTTCAACAACTTCAAACAAAACATAAAAACTAAGATTGAATAGGATAATCAATCTTCATCTTCTCCTCCTGCTCTGCTTCCACCAGCTCCACCCTTCATTTCACCCCATAATTCATCCCAACCTGG